TATCAATGCCTGACTGATATCACTTTTACCCAAAACTTTTGACCATCAACACTGCATGGCCTAAAATATTTAGTGAATGTAAATAGAAAAATAAACGGAATATTAAGGAAAAAATAACTCCTACAAGAGTCGAGATACATGAAAATAACTCGTTTGTAACTCACAAAATCTCATCAAATAGAAAACGGAGTACACGAATGACGCAGAGTAGAAGAACAGAAAAATTAAGCTATCATTCTTTTAAACTAGCAGCATGAAACAACAGTTTCCATTTACAGAAAGGAAGTTGCAACCAGAACAAAACATAAACAATACTAGAGAATACTTATAGAACAGGTATCAAAAAGGTGTAGACAAATCAAACATGCCACAATCCGCCACGAGAACACATGCAAAGGCTTAAATGGTAACAAATGACGCTTAAGATACGTTCAGCTTGAAACCACTGTAAAACTTTAAGCCTAACGTTAATGTTCATTGTCGCAAGTTCGAAAATGTACTTATTCAAAAATGATCGGCTAGAAAACGTCAAAATGTAAATCTTCATTCTAAAACGTACCCTTTCTCGAATTCTGAGCACCTGGTGCTCTCGGAATTCCGCCAGAAATAAATCACGACTCCGTGGAATTTAGCGAAGCACATGACAGATAGCTGAGAGGCAGTGTGAGGGCTAGATCGATGGCTCGGGTATGCTCAACAACTGATACCCACCGCAGCTAGAAATCCACTCATCGAAGCTTGCCCGAAATATGGAGGCCTGGAAGCACTGGAAAACATATCGAAAAACCGGCCTGAAAATGACAGGTCGCAAACTGCAACGGATAGTTGGCCATGAAAATGAATGAATGCTAATAGGCTATTCGATTCAAACAGTCAAGCTATCACGACCATTCATTCAAATTCGTACAGTCGTAAACTTCCAAACATTCCGTTCATGTTTATTTCCTACGGGCTAGAGCGACTTCATAGGGGGTTTATACGACTCAAAAGCAGTGCAGTGAAATACAATTCTTTAGTGGCGAAAATCCACTCACCCGAAGTCACATCGCCAACCATCGCCTGTTTGTACAACCCGTAAATGTCGAGCATCTCGTCGTCGGTAGGCCGAGTCTTCAAATTTCGAACGGTCTCGGCCATTTCTTCAAATTTCTAAAACGAACGATGAACAAAATCTAACACACTTAGAATAGTCATACCTTGCAGAGATCCATGTAGGAATTTTCTGCCCACCGGTTTTAATGAAAAGTTGATTGCTGTATTTTTTACAGTATCTCTGATAATTTAGATGATATTTTCAAAAAGAATTATTACGGAGAAGTACACCAAGTTACGGCATCTTTTCTAATCGCAATTCTGTAAACGAAAAGTCAGTGGGATGCGTGAATATACTAGAAGAGTGGAGGCACACTTTTGAAGATATCAATCCTGACAGTCTAGCCAAAAATGTAGAAGGTTAAGAAAGAGAAGCGATTTGCTATTTGGCTCCCACGACTAATGACGAAGATGCATATAACCCTGTATTGGATGCAATATTTATTTTTATTTACCGGTTCCACTTTGTGCTGATCATTGGAAAGCTATCAAATTGGTCAAGGCTAAATGCACTCATAAACTGCATGCATCAGACGGCGTCTTCGTATATCTCGCATATTCTGGAGTGGCTGCACAAGAACACTAATCTGTCTATTTTTCACAAATCAAGGTCAGCGATTATCCATCTGTTTTTTATTGGCTGAGTTAAATCTGAGTAAATTTAGTTAAATGAGTTTCTCTTCATTCTTTTATTCGTGAAATTAAAACGAGGAGTATCTCTGCACTCAGATTTCAGAAACAAAGTAAACGATATTCAAACGGACTGAGATCAGCACTACCTTGCCTGTTTAGAACGCTTAGAAATCCGCATGAGCAAAAATGTTTCACTGAGGAAGCTTGTATTCGTAATGTCTGAAGCGCTGAGTTTCTTGCTTTTACATTGTGCATTGTTTTACAGAAATACTACTGTGTGATGATCGCACATTCCTTCGTCTAAGTGCACGGGCTTCATTTTTTCGACGTATTCTTCGTCAAGGGAAATATTTTCTCTGCGTTTTGCCATTAAGCTAAAAATTTTTTATATGAAAAGAGTTGCGATGACCTCCTGTACTATTATCCCAATAGATCTCAGCTTGTCTACAATTAAGTTTGCATAAATGCACAAAGGCTTTATAAATTGCAATTTCAAATTATTGCCTAGATTTTCTGACAGATTCCTTTTCAAGGCAAAAATTAATTGAGGGCAAAATTGTCAGCTGAAACTGCAATAAAATGGTTTTCTTGTTTTACGCCTGTTGCAATGTGTACGATGAACTGAATACCGCAATACCCATTCATTCACTTATTCAACCTTACTGTTATGAAGCATGATCTGTTATTTAACTTTCAGACAACTATTTTCGACATGATTTATACTTAGTACGCTTAACGCCGGCGACTCAGTCTGCGGTAATCAGAAAGAGAGACAAGAAGTTAATTAAGCAGTGGCATTTTATTCAGACAATGATATGCCCATGTTTCAGAAAGCTTCAAAAGTACAATCGCGTAGTGCTTTCTTCTCAGTGTAACAGCATGACTAAGAATGGCAATGACCGTTGAAGATACCAGCGCAAGTGGTATCGGATGGCAATCATCTTGTTTTTGTCTGCATAGTCGTACTTGTTTGACAGTGCATTATGAGCAGCGATTAACAGTTCGGAAACCTTTAGAAAAATCATTTGCGTTCGTCGTCGAAGTTAGATGTTGGAGAATAAAGTTGGACAGCTACATGAAGTCAGAAATCTTGATGTTCTGTTACAGAAAATTCTACGAAATACAAATATAAACAAAAAAGCAATATACCTTAAATCATAGCAACTCAGTAACTCCACCTAAACTAAATATTAAGGAAATAAGCTCGAAACTTGATTTAACCTATATGAAACTGATTAAAGGAAATGACTATCTAACGTCTGGCAATGGGTCCACCATCTTTATTGGCATAACTCGATTATGCGTTCTTATACCGAATAAGTAAGACATGCGCAGTCTAAGCGTGCATTTGGCGTCTCCGTTAACGATTTCCCCTGGTCGGGATTTTAGTAATGACATTTTAATCTCTTCCAACACGTAGTAAACCTTTTCCTGGAAGGTAGACTCTGTAAAGTAGAAACTTTGCGAAGCGACAAAATATCTCTCCAAAAGTCCCATGAAAATGGCCGAAAAAAGCCGTTTCTGAGTAGCGTGTCGAAATTAGTCACCTTCAGGCTGACCCTGGGCAGATACTTTATCAGAAACACCAGCTAAAAGTTTATGAAAAAAGGGTTCAATTTATCAGGGGAATGGTCGATCAACGAATCGAAGGTGACTTGCACGCTGTGTAAGCCAAGCCCCTTCTGTACCGTCTTTCAGTTGTTAAACCCTTTTTGTAGTCACTATTTCCCCATCAGTGTATTTATTTGGCATTATTTTGGGAAGCTAACGTTCATCTTTAAGTGTAGTGCTATGGCAAAAAAAGACTATGAGAATAACAGCGACATTCTTCTAAATCACTGGCCAGTCACAAGAATCTTCTACAGTATCCCTAACGCGATTCGCTCCGCAGCCATCACATTATTCACCTAATAAATAAGAAACTTGACGCTTTCGTTGACGTTCTGGTCAATTTTGCTCTGCTCCGTAATCATCTGTCTGTCTTCAAACACGGGTACAAAAGAATCTAATAATAATTACAGTCCTGGAAAGTCCGTGTTATGGTGCGTCATGGTGGGAAAAGCTGAAAATCCAGCATTTTGAAAGTTAACGGAAAGGGTGGAAAAGTCTGCCACATGTACCGCGCCAAGGAGCAAGCAGACTGTGTGGAGAAATCAACACAGTTTCAAAACGGAACCGTCTATTTCAAATACATTGCTTAACAGTGTTGTGCAATTTCCTTGTAACACTGCCGCTAGATTTTAATATTATGGAGAGTGGGAATAAATTTATCTACGTGAGTGCATGCAAACCGGAGTATGGTGTAACATTTATTTCTGCTACTGCTATTGTCAAATATTCATGACTACCTATTGGCAGTCAGTTCAAGTAGCCGTAGGTGCCGAAAGGTTGATAATTATGAAACATGGTGCTAGCCTATGACAAATCATAGTCGTTTTGATGAAATGCAAACAGAAATCGAGTAAAGGATAGTGGAATTCGTGTTGTTTAGAAGCTGGAGGGAGAGAGGTTATCTGATCGTCGTAGAAGAAAGGTGGGAAGCTAGTTTCAGTATTCCAGCCTATGTAGAGCTTAAAAGTTTATCGTTTGAGAGGTATACAAGATCAAGATTATCGGTATTGTATATATGGAGTTTCCATGATATGAAATATTCTACTAGCTTTAAATAAAGCACTTTAAAGATTGCCGGCCAGGCGTAGATGGTGTAGCGGTTAGCATGGTTGCCTTCCAAGCAATCGATCCGGGTTCGACTCCCGGTCTACGCATTTATTTCTCGATTAAATGAAACCTTTTGTCTATTGATTCACTAATTACTTTTTACTGTTATCGACTTATTGCTTGTGGCTACTAATAAACGATGATTATCGGTTTACACGTGATGATTTCTTTGCTCAAGGCAGTGGCAGCTAAAACAAAATGTCCGCGAAGTCAAACGAAAATGAAATGAGTTCAGCGCTATCAGATCGGTTCGCATGAATTTCTCGCCACAGTTGCTACAGTTGCTATAGATATAATGGATTATGGGATCTGTAATTGGTCGAGAACATAATTGTTATCATAGCTAGAGTAATTAGAATAAATAGTTGTCAAAAGATGCCTCGGCAGCTTCTTCGAAGTACGAAGACTGTTACTAAGACGGCCGGATACTGAACCTGGTAACTTGTATATGAAAGACAAAGGAGATGGAAGAGAAGGTAATGAGGAAGAGCGAACTCAGCTAGGAAAACAAATGTCGTGCCAGTTTGCACACATCGGATGAGCGCGTCATCTTGTCAGTCGGGAAAACACCACTATGGCACTCATTCCGTCATAGCAGAAGTAATAAGGAGAATTATCGGAGAACTGAAGAAATGCGGCATAACGTCTTAGAATTCTGCTAATGAGATTGTGGCCTCAGCTTCTATAGGGCTGTCACAAGAAATAGCCGGAAAATTGTCATTCATCCTTAGCATGAACCAGACACTCAGATGCCAGAGTCGATGGCGCAAGCGTCCGACTACCAAATCCAGCCATCCTCAATGTTTTGGTACTGCCGAAAGCGTGCAGGCAGATATTTCGCCGTAAGATTTTCTTGATGCACGACAGCGAACCCGGTAACGATCATTCGGGAATTTTTTTTTGCTAGGAATAATTTGCGACTATCCAACTGGTATGCGGATGGAACATACCGTCGGTATTTGTCTTGCTGTCGGATAAAATAGAGGATAGTTATTTGTGAATGTTGGGCGTCTTGAAATATCTGGAAATAAGCTTGGCACCTCAATCGGTACTAACTGATTTTGAGGCCACTAACTCTTTTCAAAGAACTTTCTCAGATGTCCTGCATCGCCAGTGCTTTTTCCACTTCGATCAATGTAACTACTGAAACATTAAAGAATGGTCTCCAGCAAATGGATGCCACCTTTCGCCTTAAAATTCCGGATGTTAACTGTATTATCTATCCTCCTTCTTACCAGTGCAGGTCGCACAACGAACCTATAATCACTTTTGGTGCTGGAGAAGTTTACTGGCGAAGGAATGCAGCATTTCCAGCGGATAAGACGCTGGTCACAGTTAAATTTTAATTTTCATGACGACGCCATTTGTTACACATTCCATCATGGTACAGTGATGATTATTGTTTTGATGGTGTCAGTAAGGAAGCTTAACTTTAGCGAAAGCAACATATAATGCTTTCTACAGTGTTTCCTAATTCCTTCCTTTCATGCTAATTGATAACATACTGTCAAATCTAAAAGAAAACGCCTCTGTTTAATCAAATGGTAAAACCGTTTGAAAAATTTACTGCGAAATATTCAAAAACAAGAATCAAATAATTCCATAGAAACAAATTTAAACATGTACGAAATGCATTTACAAGTTAATCAGTGCATAGTAATTACAAAAAGTTAAAAATCACAGTAAAGTGCTATTACAGCCGACGTCAGCGACGAATAAAAACCCGATCTCTGTTTAAAATGATGAGAAGTAGATTCCTGATCAAACTTGAACTGAAGAAAACATAGGAAAAGCCCTGTAATACAAAGAACAACTAATACACAAAACAATGCAAAATACCGTCATATCATTCAACTACACTGACAAGAATTAGAGATCAAATAAACATTTAACTTTATTCTAAAATTCCATTGCAGATCAAACGTACAAATTTACAAATATGAATTATGATCAAACAAATTATGAAATTCAGAGTTTGTTAAAATGCGAAAAAACCACTGGTATTCGCGAGAAGTTAAACGGAATTTGAAGAATTTGATAAGCACTAAGAATCGCTTAACTAATCGAATCAACAAGAACCCGTCAGCTTGTTTCATTCCTTCCAACAAACATTTTCAGTATGTTTTAAAAGCTATGTCAAGAACATCGTACGTATCAGATGTCCTGAACAGTGAGCAATGCCAATCGTTCACTTATAACCGTTCGCTCTGATTACTAAAGCATAAGCTTCGCTATGACAATCGAATATAAAAATAAACGTTACCATTTATCACGACTACGAGTAAAAACAATAAAAAACTGATCATTATATAAGCTGCATAAAAATTAGTCGATACGGAATACCTTTCAAACCCTGAAACACCGTAAAATATTAACTGAGTTAAAGCAGACTGAAAAAAAACGAATGACTAAAGAGCGACATCTCGACAAATGTAATGACACATGATTACCAAATACTCAAACGTAAAAGACGCTGATTACCATAAAGTTCAGCACATGCAAAATTCAAAGAAAATTTTAAAGAAAGGTTCACTGCATATTTTTCGCTGATGCGTCGCTGTCGACGGTTTTGATTTTGATCAATGTACTTTTCGGACGGTATAGCAACCTCTTTGGGACCGACCGAGGATGTCGGTGGTACTTGACCCGATGGCCATTGCCGAAGGCCTGACAGACATTCGGAACTGCGCTGTTTGGTTGTCGCTGCTTAGGTAAAACCCAACGAGGGTTCCGTGCGGCGATCGGAGGCATGAGAGGGAGACAGGGCGGGGCACCCGGGATGGCAGTAACAGCAGTGTGCGAACTCAGAAAGCGGAAATGATCCCCGCTGCTAAACTCTTGGTCGCCGCAACCGACTCCATGATCAGAACTAGGGATGAAGGCATGGAGGCTCTTACGGGACGGTACAGCAGGTGGCATCATGCCCCGGTCGAACGACGGCGCCGATGATACACATGGCAAACCGCCACTGAAACCTGGCACATCCGTAATCTGAATCTTTGTCTCTTCTTGTTCCCTCCGACTCATCTGAAAATGAGTAGTAAATTCACTGATGCAAGTAAACAACAACAAACCTCCTGTAGTCGCCTCAGCTCCTTGCGAAAGTTCATCTGCTCACGCAGCTTCCGTTGTTTCTCCAGCTTATCCAAATAATCAGCCCAAAATTCATCGTCTGCAGACTTGTCATAGGGCTTCTTTTCATGACCGACATGAGCAAGTTTTTCAGAGGTAGTCCTAGCGTCTCTTCGGTCATGACTAAATGAATCAAACATGATTTCGCAACAGAAAATTTACAAAGCAAATAAACATTACTCTGTGCCACTCAGCAGTACTATGAATATTCATGTATCAGTAACTGTCATAATGACACTTACAAAGAAAGGAATAAATTTACTCAATTTACCGGTAACTCTCATTAGGACAGTTCCTTAACAGATTTACTCCCCGTGATCTTACTCCTGATAAAATGTCGCTGTTAAGGTAACAATCGATCCATATTCAGGCAATTTATAATACGTGCCGAAAATTGGATAACGTTAAAAAAAATTTGAAGCTAAAAAAATTCACAATGGAAATTTTCGACATCTTATTTAAGAATGATAGATGAAGAAATCGTCCGGCTGCGAATCGAAGAACATGTCGCCGGATTACTGCAGCTTTTACACCCAGAGTAAAAGAGCCAAGGCGACCATGAATGTAGCAGAATAATCATCGAATAGAACATATTGCGCAAATGTTGCTCCAGGTACAACAACAATTAACTTATCTTGCTTCGAGGTTAAGCACCATTGCCTAGTCCTGATACCTACACTCATCCGTCTCATGCGATTGGTCGCTACAAGCCTCCATATCTCTCATTTAGCTCATGTTCCATCTCGACCGAAGCTCTACAACTGGGCGCTTGCACATTCCTAAATGCAAATCTGTTACCGCCGAAGTTCATCAACCATCCGACAGTCGCGCGATAAGACCTGCCCATCTTTGTTTAGTTTCTTGTGAAACTGATGCTGTCTTGCATATATGTCTTAATATTTCTTCATTTCACAGCTTGTCCATGATGGAAATTTGTAACATCCCTTTTCCATACTGTTCTTCATCCTTTTCTATTAATGTCTAGGTTTTCATGCTAATGTACGGAGAGACCATGTTTTCATACAATGTGGCTTTAACGGCAATTGATAACCTTCCATTTTCAACAATATCAGCGTTTCTCTGTAAGTACTCTATGCCGCACGACGCCTTCCATTAAGTTCTGCACCAAAAGTGCAGTCCGAGACGATCAGCTGTTCCAAGCAGACATACCTGGTGTCATCTATCTGACAATTACTGATGACTACTATAGCTGGTTGTGTGAATTCGTTTCTCGTAATATTTGTCTTCACCATGTTTATCCGAAAACTCACTGCTTGCTTGAAATCTGCTGCTGAAAACCACCCTTTGACTCAGGTTCACAGAACATAGCCTC